GACAGAGCCAGGAGACCAGGGCAACTGAATGGGCTCATGAGTTGAGGGCGGGGGGCTGGGAGGGAACTTGGGAGGCAGGTCAGTGAATAGCTGCTGATGCTGACGTATTGGTCTGATGACAGATGTTTCTGCTCCACTCAACAAAACAATCACTCACCTTATGTTGGAGGGACAAGGGCATGTGCACATGTGGTGTGGTGAAATATGTCTTTACAAATGTGAGACTCACTTTATACAAGATAAATGACTCCCACATAACTGTACATTGAATTTCAGTAAAATCAATCATACTTTAATTGCACAAAGGGAGTTCTTTCTTCAAAGAATCGTGACTGGTAGTGACAGTAGCTGCTACTTCGGCAGGTCTGTACACCTGCTGGCCATGTGAGAGACGAGCACCCACCTTGTCATAAGCCTCTGAAGAACAGACTCTTGATGCTCCCACTTGGCAGCATGCTGGGGGTTCCAGGCCACTGGGGTTCAAACTGTGTCTGATTCGAATCCACAGGCACACAGAGCATCAGTGATGGCGCACACGTGCTGAGTGCTCTGTGATTGCTTAGGAGCTTTGTGTTCTTCCTTGGTTATCTCCTTTCATCCTTGCAGCAGCCTCTGTGAGGCAGGCAATAAGCTCATTCCCATTTTCCAGCCTGGAAACAGACTGATTGAGGCATGAGGACTGCTATGATGAGTCAGTTGCAGAGCCACTTCCGGAACTCCGTTCACCCGCTCCTGGATCGGCTGTCCGGATGCCTACATGGGGTTCCCCAGTATCTGTGATCCCCAGGGAGAATGGCATGGTGCTGGCCCACCTTATCTTCCCGCAAGTCTCCCTCTCCCTCTGCTGTTTAATTTCTCTCCCTGTCATCTGTCCCTTTCCTGATCCTGTCCCCTGCTGTCCCATCCATTCATCCTGATGGCCTCCTTGTTATGGCTTTGCCTGGCAGAGGAGTCCCCAGAAAACTTCCATCTTATATTTGCTTGCTTAAAAAAAAAGTCAGCCTTCCTCTCTGGACTGCAGGCTCTATGAGGGCAGGATTCTATCTCTTTGGTTTGCTTTGTATCATCTCCCTTTTGACGTACTGAGTGAACCTCCCACCACCAGCCCCTGTGTGCAGGAAAGGTAAGAGGCAGTGCTGGTCATCTCAGAGCTGTCCCCAGGGTTCTTCCCTCTCCAGGATAAGCCCTGGAGTAGGTCCATGTGCACCTGCTGTGCTCAGCTGGCATGACCTCTATTCCCTCCACCATCAACCCTCTACTGATGCTTTATAAATGTAGGAGCAGCTGAGTGATGTCACCGTAGTGCATTTTGGGAGTAGCCATGTGGTTTATACACACTTGAGTTGCTTTGAATGCAAACCTGACATACTGAAGGCAGCAACGAACAACATATGCACAGTAAACAGGCAGAGACTGTCTTATTGATTAACAGATGAGGCCTCTATTATCGATCAAAGCTTGGCGAGGAAATTTATCACTTTTAATTTCAGGACTGCCAAATATTTCTGCCTCTGAGCCAGCCATTACAGAGACAATTTAAAGGCACCAGCCTGCTTAGAAGATAGAATTCCGTCTGGTTCTCTCTGCTCAACTCCTATAGCTATGGTTATGCCTGTCTCTGCAGTTTGGCTCATCCTGGAGAGCTGGAGGGAGGATGGTAGTGTATGTGGGGGGTCAGAGTCTCAGTCTCATGGTGGGGACAGGAGTGTTGGGGCTTCTTGGCTGGTACTGGCAGCGGGAACCAGCATCTGTTGTTTCCGCATTTGAGGACAGGGGCCCTTCACATGCTCTGCCCGGTTCCGTGACTTAAGCATGTGTAGGTGGAATGTGGAGGGCTTTGAAGGGGACCAGATGTGGTCAGGCGTGGGCCATGCTAGCACCCTGGACTAGACCTTGTGGATCTTCATCTGAACTTTTCTGATGGTGCACATCCGGCCCTTTATGTCCTATCCACCCTCCCGCGCTCTCTGCTTTGCAATCATTAAAGTGAGAAGCTCTTGTAAGGGCCCAGCTGGCAGTTTTCTGAGACGCCCTCTACCCCACAGCTCTTTGAAGCTTGCACACCGTTGGGCTCCTTGCTGGGTCATGCAGTGCTGTAGCCTGAGGCCCTGCCCACAGGAACCCATCCCTTCCCTGCCTACATTTTTCTCCTAGGGTCTCTGCCCCGTGTTCTGTAGGGAGCTGTGAGAACAGCCAAGTGAAAAATAAATACAGTGAAAATCAGATCCCTCACAGATCCACAGAAAATCATTGGTACCTAATGATTTGGGACTTGAGGGGGCGGGGATGGGGGGTTCTAATTGGAGGGAGATGCTGCTGCCCTCAGGCCCTTCTTCCCTTCCCTAGTCAGCTCTGCATTTTGAGATGCAAGTGCTATGGTCAGCTACCTCTGCAGACACATTGTGGCTGCCTCCCTGTCATCGTTGGTAAGGCATCATCTTGGCTCCTTCTTCAAAACTCAGTAAGCCATGCACCAGGTGCTTGGCCAAGGATGGCCTGCAGCTTGGAGGGACACCCAGAGGTCATCACGGGATGTTCCCTGTTGCCAGATGAAACCCAATGCTAGCCACCTATGAAAAATGACAATATTTGTTTTCAATGCTCTTCAGGAAAAAGCAATTTTGTATCTTCTTTGGGATCCTTGATCATTCATTTCTTCAATCAGACAATGCTTACTTGCTGAGCACCTGTTTAGAATAGATCTTGCTCATTATTAGGAATGCAGGCATTATTGAGACAGACAAGGTCAGTGCTCTCATAGGACCTCACATTCCAGACCTGCGCTAGGGTCCGCGCATTCTCAGCTGGCCACAATGCTGCATCGTTGTCCAGGTCTATGCTCAAGCAGTGCGCATGATGAGTTACATTCCTGAAGTATTTGATGGCAGAGGCTTTCAAACTTGTAAGTGGTAGAACCATTTTTTCCAAATCCAATTTTACCCAAAGCCCTGATGCATAAAATGGTAAATGAAGTTCTTTCTCTCTCTCCTTTTTTTTTTTAATACAAAAGAAGAGCCCAGATCTCACCTTTTTAATGCAGGAAGCATATTTGTAGATGAGAATAAAAATAAAAGGGGTCTGTAAGCCCAGGGGTCCTGAACAGAGGTTCGACAATGAGGCTGCCAGGGTTTGAGTCCACTTCTACCATTACCCACTGGGTGACACTGGGCAGAATACCCAACTTCTCTGAGTTGAGTCATCTGCTAAGTGGAGCGTACTTGAAGTGGTTGTTGTTAGAGTATGGTACATATTAAGCACTTGGCAACAGGCTTGGTTTGGAGTAAAGCCTTGGGAAACCCAGAATGGTTTGAAATCAGTACTGTGGACTGCTATTCCATTTGGAAGAAGTTTTGACTCTCAGAAGGCTCCAATACAAAAACCACCCAGGCAGTTATAGACGAGTTGAGACAGGTTTATAGGAACACGTACAGTGCAGATGGGAAAGGGCAGAACAACGAGGAGCTGGAATGTGGTATCCACAGGTTCTGGTCCTGAAAATGGCATGGTACCAGAACAGAAGGAAAAGTGGGGATATTCGGGCAGAATGGAGCCTCATCCAGAGAGGGTCTGGGGAACAAGCCAGCTGTGGAGATGGCCAATTCCCTGAGATAGGTCCTGGGGAATCTCAGAGTTAAGGGAAGGCTTCATAATTTGTGTGAGCTGTTGCATCTTGTTGAATGAGGAAGCGGTCTTCAAGGCTCCTGTTACTGGTGGTGTGCATCTGAGGGTGACTGGTGGTATGGATACCCTTTGGGTTGTGGTATGCTCTAAGCATGACACAGCTGGTGCCTGCATGGGGCAGTGAGTCCCAACATCCTGTGGAAGAGAGATATGGAAGTAGAAAATGCCAAGGTTTGTGACAGGTGACCTGCGATTAGATGATATCTTAGAGTCTTTAAGACTACTAGCCAGTAGTAGAAAGTACTGTATGGTTTGGCCATGGTGATATTATGCTGAGACTTGTAGATTATGATTCTAAGAAATTTTATTACATGGAGATACACTGACTTGATTTGGTGTATCTATAGCTGAGTTTGGTAAGAAGTTCCCACTGAGGGAGAGACAGCTGTGCATGAGATGACTTGGTCCCCAAGCAAGGGAGTTGATGGTGGTGAGAAGTAGTGACAAGCCCACAGGTGTTTGCACTTAGCACAGCAGAGTCTGTTATCTGGGTCATATAGGCTGCACCAGGGTGTCAAGAAGGGTCACCTCACCCAAACATGGCAGGGAGCAGGTCTCAAAGCTGCTGCCTCAACAAGGAGCAGGACCTCCAGCCTACTCCATAGGGGTCAGCGGGCAGGAGGGAGCATGGCAGAGGCAGAGGATGGGTGGGATGTGCAGAGGTACAGCAACAAGGAAAAGGTGGCTGGGGAAATGGGAGCAGGAGTTAGGATGTGAGAGATGGAGCAAGAAAGACAAGCACTTGGAGAGGTGGTGAAGAGAAGCAGCGGATGGGGTTCAGACTTTATCCTCAAGGCACCTGGGTCTTTAAAGGTCAGGTTCAGGTGGTGGTGGTTGGAGGCAGATGGTGAATTTATAGTTTTGGACATCCTCAGTCAGAAGTTTTTATGAACATCCAAGCAGACATATGTCAGCAGTTCCTGCATTCCCCCAAATGGTGAGTGAGGTGACAGGACACACTTTTTCACCGTGAGTAGCATCTACTCCTGTCCCTCCTCACCTGGAGCTGGCCCTTCTGAATCCCCCTGCTTCGTGGAGTGTCTCACCTGGAGCTCATCTCTGTTCACTGTGGGCATTCTGTGTCCCTTCTCTCTGGATGACTCCTGGACATGGATATTTAGGGCTTAGTGAGGTGGGTAGTTACTTCTTGGAGGAGGGTCTGGGGTGGCTATTGGTGTCCTACAACACTGCCTCTCTCTGGATCTTCATAAGTACCTAATAATCTTTCCCAGAATCCACCTGTGGGATCTTTGCTGAGGACCACCCCCTTGTGCTAGTGGAATACCCTGCTTGTGCTAATCACCTCTCCTTCCTTGCAGCGGGTGCCAAAGCCTTTGTCTGTGATCAGTGCGGAGCCCAGTTTTCCAAGGAAGATGCCCTGGAGACGCACAGGCAGACCCACACTGGTGAGTTGACTTTGCTCCCTTTCTGCAAGTTCCCCACTGTCTGAGAGTACATGAGGATGAAGCATCTCAGTGGCATTCTCCTTGTAGCAGATGGGATGGTCAATCATTTCCTTGAGGAGCTGTGGGCGGGACTGGGCTGCTGCCACTAGCAGCTACTCCTGTGTGTATGGCTGACTGGGCAGCAGCTTGCATGTGTGACATTGCCCCGACCAGAATAGCTCTGCTGGGCTAGGCTGGAATATCTGTTACCAAAGCATTGAGCTCTCATCCTCACAGAAGCATCTGCTGTGTTCACACTGAGGCCTTAAACATCTGGGATGCTATTGTATCATCACCTGCCTTGGTTAAGAATTAAGAAACCTCTCGTTCTATCATAACATTCAGAAACTTCTGTGTGGCCACAAGGCCTGGTGCAAGATTTGAGCCACTGTCCAAGCAATCAGTCTATATGCAAAGATGTGTTCTAACCATATCCACTATAAATGATCCAGCTTTCTTTAATTTCAAAGCATCGATTTCACAACATCAACGTCTTGTAATTGGTGTCACTGTTGGTGCAGCTCACACTTCCTGAATGTTCATGGTGTGCCAGCTGCTGTTCTTGATAGTGTACATGACAAGACAGGGGCAGTCTTTCAGTCACTCTAACGTAGGAGGCTGTTCCCACATCATAGATGACAAAGAAGGGAGTCAAAAACTTAAAGGAGGGAGAAGGCCAAAGGCAATAGAAGCATAGGCATGATGGAGCCTTGCAGTTCATGGCTTAGGCCTCTAGGTTTTAATTCTGAGGCCCCTTCTTGTTTGTGGCACTATACATAAATAAACTCTCTATTTGGAGTTTCTTAAACCAATGCAATGATAGTAGTTAGTTATCTCCCTTATAGCAGAATTTTATTATGGAGATGAAATATTTTGTTTGAGGTGCTTTGTAAAGTGTTTGACTCACAGTAACTACTCTGATCGAAAGGTAGTAGTAGATGTATTTAAGTTAATAAGTATTTATTGAGTTCTACAATGTGCCTAGCACTCTGTGAGCATTTAAGGGAGAGCAACATATGACACAGAGGACATTCTTGCCCCCTCATGGAGCTGCAATTTGAGAACCAGTATCAGCAAATAACTGTGCTCTAACATTAGGCTCTAACAAATGCTAGAAGATATGCCAACTAGATGAAGGAACCGCTGAGCTAAAGCCAGCCTGACAAATGCTAGAAGAAAAAGCAGGAGAGGAGGTAGAGAATGAGAGAAAAGTACTGTTTGGATATAATAGCCAGGGAAGAAGGCCTCCCCAAGGAAATAACTTGGGTAGGGTCTTAAAGTGAAGGGGTGAGGAAGTGTAAGCAAAGGGAACAGGTGCTGGCAAAAGTCCCATGGCTGAGTTGAGCTTAACAGGTCCAAAGAACAGCTTGAAGGGCAGTGTGATTCAATGTCAGGCAGTGACATGCGAGTGCTGGAAGAGGAGGGTAGAAATCAGGTAGGTCTCTGGATCCTAGCACTGTGGGGTTTATTCTGCATGTGCTGAGCTCACTGGAGAGGAAAAAGATGTTTTAAAATCAGTTAACAAGGAACTTAACAGATAAAATGTATAAAGAACCCCTGGGACTCAAAAATAGAATACAGATAGCCAAAATAAAGAGTGGTCAGTGGATCTGAATAGACATGTTTCTGAAGACAAACAGACTATGAATACGTGAAAGGATGCTGAGACCAGTAGCCATCAGAGAGATGTCAGTGAAAACCATAATGAGTTACTACCTCATATCTACTAGGATGAAGCTATAAAAGAATATTGATACCAACAAGTGTTATGACAAAAGTTTGAGCACTTTTACACTGTTGGTGGGAATGTAAAATAGTACAATCACTTTGGAAAACAATTTCCTAGAAGGTTAAATGTAGAATTATCTTAGGATACAGCAGTTCTTCCCTTAGGTATATATCCCAGAGATAGGAAGATATATGTCCATGCAAAAAAATGAACAGGACTGTTCATAGTAGTATAGACACCGACTGTCAACTGATATGTGGTATGTCCATACAGTGGAGTGGAATTTGGCCATTGATGGCGGGGGGGGAGGGTACTGACACATGCTATGGTAGGGAAGGGTGAGCATTCACATGCTTGGTGAAAGAAGCCATGCACAAAAGGTCCATCTATGTAAAATGTCCAGAATAGGCACACCCATGGAGATGGAAAGTTAATTAGTAGATGCTGGAGGCTGGGAGTATTGGGAGTGAGTAGGGGGTGACTGTCCGTGGAGACAGGAGTTCTTTTTTGGAGTGATAAAAATGCTCAAATGTTGAGATGGTGATAGTTGGAAAGCTTTGAACATACACAAGTTCATTAAACTGTATACTTTGGGAGCATGTGTTTTGTATGGTTTGTGTAGCATCTCAGTTCAACTGCATGTATATATTGATCATGTGCCTGGGAGAATCACTGGCTTCACATGCACAAAGACATAGATGTACTGAGGTATCATACACATACACTCGTGTTTATGCACATGCGTATTTGTAGAGTACCATTTTAAAAAACGGTTGAGTGGGAGAATAACATGACTTGATTTTTGTGTTTCAAAGATCACTCTGGCTCCTGTTTTGAGCACTCACCCCAGGGACAGTCTGAGCTGTCAATGGCCATGTCACACAGTACTCCAAGGGTAGCTTACAACAACAAAGTGCGCTTAGCTCTGGCAGTCTAGCAGGTGTTTTTCCCTTGAAGTCTGTCTTCTGGCTTACAGTCATGTGGTCATCTGGAGGCTCAGCTGGCCGCATATCCACAATGGCTTCTTCACTCCTGTGTCTGACCTTCATTGCTCCTGCATGTGCTCTGCCCCTACTTGGACTTGCTACTTGACAGCTCAGGGCTCCATGAACCAGGAAGCAGAAACTGCCAGCCTTTATAAAAACTAGGCTGGAAACACAAAACTTCACCTCTTCCATGTTTTATTTATCAGAGTAATCACAGGTCAGCCCCAGAATTTAAGGAGGTGGCAAGCTGAACTTTCCCTCTCAATGGGGGAATGATAAAAACCTACAGGAAGAGAGGGATTTGGCAGCAGTCATGTTGAGAGATCAGAAACTACAAGGAACTGGAGTAGAAGAACCAGTCAGCTACTGGTATAATTGTCATACTGTTACAACTATTACAAGTACCCATACAATCTCATCAATAATAAAATTATTACAATAAAATAATAAAATTAGTATGATAGTTCTAAACTCCTATCCTTCCCCCTCATAAAATCTGTTTCTTGGCAGTGAAAGACATACCTCTTAGCGCTGAAATCAGGGACTTTGGCCTGGTGGCAGCTTGCTCTGCAATGATGGGAGTGGAAGTTATAGGTGAGCTGTTACTCTATTGCACACCTTCCTTGCTCCATTACAGAGAAGGTAAAGCATGTATAAGTTATTACGTACAGGGATCCAGGTCTAGTTGCTGTGAAGGCCAGAGGAAGACCAGGTCCACTACTTTGTTACTGTGAGAGCATTTCTACTCTAGAATCTCACTCTTGAGAATTTTCACCTGGGTGTTGGGGAGACTAAGCCCTGAGCCAGCTTTGCCATGCAGCTTCATTCTGCTCATCTGAATTAAATTGCAGCAGCAAGGAGCAAGTTGCCCTCTCACCCAAGGGCAGGGGAAGAGGCAGAGCCTCCCAAGGGGTGAGCACCGGGGCAGTTTTGCCCACATGGACCCTAGATCCATCCTGAGCACTACATATGTGCCAAGCAGTTGCTGAGAATATGGTGGTGACTAAAGCAGGCATATTTCCTGTTGTGAGGGTGAGTCCCCCAGAACTTGTCTTTGACCAGGAGAGTTTGTGATACACAAGGCTACTTCCAACAGAAGGATGGAGGTCAGCTGCCTAGCACAGCAGTTGATATAGAAGGAAAATGTGACTGATTTTCAATAATCCACATGTGTCTTGCCCCAAAATAGATTGAGCAAACCAAGCTCTTGAAAGAGGGAGAGTGGGGAAAATGGATCCCAAGAAGGAACAAGTGACCAAGGTGGTGACTTTGGCCATGCCTTGCTTGCAGCCTAAGAGTGAGCCGTAGGCAAGCTCGCCCAGCAATAGGGAGCATTAACCATCTCTTAGCCCGAGGCAGGCATGATGCTGGGCACTAAGGGCATAAATTAGGGCAACCTACCCCTCGGAGTAGCGTTGGCGAGGAGATGACACCAAAGGCCTTTCCTGGACACAGGGGGTCATTCTTTTGTCACTCATGTCACTGCTTCCTGTGACCCCAGGTTGGAGGAACTCAATGTGAAATCTGTTTACTTACCTGTGTTCTAGGAAAAAGGGACCTGGGAGGATGGGAGAGCCCAGTGTGTAGAGACTGCAGAAGCTTAGCACTCTGTGCTCATGAAGTAGGAAAAACCAAGTATGATGGCAGATACCACTGACGGAGTCAACGGGAAGGTTGGGAGAGAGCCCTGGAAAGAGAAAAAAATCAATTTAATATTACTTGATATTGATGATAAAAATTTTCCTACAAGTTACAATAAATGCTTACTTTAAGATAAACACTTTACTGTACCCATTTAATAGGTGGGAAAACAGAAGCTTAGAAGCTACTTACTGCAAAGTGAAGAGCTGGAACTTGGCACAACTCCCACTTTGATGCTTCTTCTACTACTCCCCAGCTGTCTGCACACTGACTGAGTGGGCTGAGCAGTTCAAGAAGTCATTTAGCTTCCATATCTCTGTGATTTGTGTAAGAAGTCCTAACACCCTGTTGGCCACGTCCACCTCTTGAGGTTGACTCATTTCCCTGAATCAGCCTGAGCCTAAATCTCATGCCCTAAAATTCGTAGGGCCAACATGCAGCATTGCATGGGATGGAACTATGGTGTCCCACAGGCATTCTTGACACTGAAAACATGAGTGTAGTACCAAGTATTACTGATTGTAGTGTGACTGAATAAGTGGCACCATCATATCTTCCCTCTTGACCCCACTTAACCTGGCTTTCTTAAGTTTATTTATTTATTT